TAATGTGCAAAATCTGTGCATATTAATTACCAAATTTGCATAATTAGTCAATTTTGTTTTTTTTCACTGATATCTCAAGTGCTAAACATCACATTTCAATGAAACTTGGTACATAGATGTCATAGGACACTGCACAGACCTGATAGTTTTTAGGGTAATATCTGTACATATTAATTACCTATTTTGCATGATTAATTAATTTTCAGCTTTTGTTATTTTAAGTAGTAAGCATTACATTTCAATGAAACTTGGTACATAGATACTCAACGACTATACAGAGATTGATTGTTTTGGGATAAATATTTGTGCATATTAATCACCTAATTTGCATAATTAGTTAATTTTCACCTTTTCCATGGATATCTCAAGTACTAAACATCACATTTCAATAAAAATTTGTACATAGATCTTCTAGGACTATGCAGAGACCTGATTAGTTTTAGGGTAAATAATTGTGCATATTAATTACCTAATTACCTCGTTTTCCCCCTCTGAATTTAATGAAAAATTTAAATCAGATTCCAATAGTTTGTTCAGTGTTTCTCACATAAACATCCGTTCACTTAACTGAAATATTGACAATTTCAAACTGCTTTACAAAACTTGCCTTAATCTACAATTTAAAATAATTGGAATATCAGAAATTTGGCAGTTTAATAATCCCCAACTGTTTCATATCCCATCATATACATTTGAACATAACATTAGAAATAATGGAAGGGGAGGGGGTGTAAGTGCCTATATACACAATTCTATTTATTATCGACTTCTAAACAATAATGAAAACCACGCAGAGAGTTTGTGGATAGAAATTATGTCTGGTAAAAAGAAAATAGTTGTTGGTGTTATATACAGAAAGCCGGGTACAGATATTACAGAGTTTGAGAACAGTTTAGTTAGCGTAATGTGTAAAATTAAAATTGATAAATATTCCTGTGTATTGACAGGTGATCTCAACATTGATGTCTCAAAACATAACATCCATTCTGATAATTTCTTAGCAACCCTCGAAAGTTTTAATTTATACCAACTTATTAGTGTTCCAACTCGTGTTACTAGTACCAGCAGTACTATTATTACAGCAGTACCATTACAACTCATGTAACTGACCACTTCCCAATATATGCTATTTTTGAAAATGTACTTTCTGTTAATAAGTCACACAGTACAAACAAATATTACAGAGAATTTAAAAACTATAAGTCAAACAACTTTAAAAACGATTTGTCTATTCAATCTTGGGACAGGGTCTACAGACAACAGGATGTTAACCTGGCC